ATACAATCAAATCAATTTACATAATATATCGTTTCAGGAAAAATGGTGTAAATATGAGAAGAGAGGAGGAAAATATGTAAACGTGGAAAGAGGAGAGAAATGATACTATTACATCTTTTAACAAACAAAATATGTTTCAGAATTCTGCTTGAACATATCACATTTCTGCATTCAATTTATATTTGAAATATTCGAATTTTTCAAAATAAGAGAAAAGAGGAGAAAAAAAATGGATGAATCACTTATTATCGTTGCAAGCTGAACATTGTAAAACTATACAACTTGTCTCATGTTTTAACACCCAAAAGATTAACTGCTAATATGTCTAATTAATTGGTTACTAAATTTCTGTTAAAATCTTCGATAATGAAAATTAGATTAAATTATACATAAATATCTCAATATTTCAGCAGTTAACCGGATTTCTATCGTATTTAATCAAAATTTGCACTTGACTGCATAATTGGCTGATTTTTACTACATATCGGCCATGATATGAAATTAGTTGAAATTATGTGAGAAAATGGCGAAAATTTATAGGAAAGTTGCGACATTATATCAGGAATTTTCAACAAAACATGAGAAAGTTACGATAAAGTAGAAAAGAAAACTCACGTTTTTATCATTAAATAAAGTGATTCCATTTGATAACGTTTGATTGCCATTTTCATCGGTAGGGCATAGTGCGTGTCCATTACTTGGTCGATTTTTCGGCGTTAGCGAATGAAAATTCTGCACTGAACGTGAAATGAAACGATTTTGTGATGATTTCTTGTTATCTAAACGGAATATATGATAAAAAATGCTGATCAGGAATCATTGCAAACAAAAATAAAACAAAAGATTAATGCAAATATAACAAAACAAGACGCTGATCAGGGATTGATTACTGCTTGAACAACTCCTCATTATAAAATTACTGGAAATTTCGAAATTTTCAAGTTTTTCAAAGAGCGAAATGATTTCAAAACCTAACCGAGGTTTGGATATATATATGACTTTGGTTTTAGATCAGTTTGAAATTGAAATAAAATCAAAAGAAGTAGGAGAAATGACGATACAACCTTGAAATGTCGAAATTACAGCTTTGAATAAAACGAGAATACATAAATGATCGGTTCGTTGAGTGAACTGTCTGCTTTTTAGTATTCAATCAAATATTTATGATGAAATACCTTATCTAACCATTAATGATAACGGAATACTTCTTTAAAGAATAAAGCTTTTATCATAGATAGCATATGATGGATAATTTGGCTTCGATTTGTTTTGTATCAATTTGAAATTGAAATAAAATTAAACCAAACAATGGAAAATAGATGATAACGATGGATGAAAAACCAAAGCCAAAATTAATGATAATAATGATGTATTATAGAAGTATGAAAATATATTGTGAAGGAGAGATTCGAAAGCAATTAATGAGCTTAAATTAGCCGAAAACAAAAATAGAAAGAAACCGGAATCACCTGAACTTGAGGTCAATCGCAATATCTGTGGTGATTGAGATGATATAGCTCTAGCTGTTAGCATCGAACGGCTTGAAGTAGTAGTTGTTGTTGTTGTTGTGTTGACAGTTGTGTTGGCGATTGAAGCTTCTAGTGACTGTTCCAAATCATTCATACGACGTAATATTTCAGCTCCTGTGGAACGTAAACACATCTACAAAATAGTAATGATAATCGATTTTAGGATGAAATATTTTAAAACGAATTAGTATCGGATAAAATAGGAAAAAGGGAAATGGGAGAAAGAGGGGGAGATGGGAAAAACGGAATTGAGTAAAACATAGACATAAAGATAAAGAAAAAGAAGAATGCATGATAGCAGCAAGAATTGCTACAAGACAATATGTAATGATCAGGATTCTGAGGATCCGAAGATTTTTGTGCTGCAAAGGAATACGTGATGGCAGGAAGGATTCGCAAATGCTACAAAAGAATGGATTATTGTAGTGAAGATTCTGAAAGGTTGCAAAGAAATTTAGGATGGCAGGGAAGATTCTAAAAAACTACAAAGAAATGCATGATAGCAAGGAGGATTTTTGATAAGTTGCAAAATGTTCGTTATAAATGCCTCAAATAGGCATTTCTAATTCGTAAGTTTAACATTTACATAAATCTTATTGCAAAGTTAAAAAGACTGAAAGCATAATGGCAATTAATAATATTTAATTACTAAATTATCTAAAACTGCAAAAAGATCAGATTTAAATTTGAAAATTATCAAAATATAATGAAAGTTCATTTTTATATAGAAAATAGTGAAATTAAAAAAAGGAGGAGAAAATTTCTTGAAATGATAAATTTGGCATAAATGGGCAAACAAATTTAGAACATTTAAATAGGCCAAGTAAGGAAGAAATTTTTTTTTAACATCGAATTGGAAAAATTTTTTCAACCATCTATCTATCTGATAGCATCAGGAAAAAAAGATACGACATCGAAGTGTCAACATAATGTGATCATTATTTCATCAGTATATTATATTAGAATTTGAATATTTAATATTTTGTTAGTGTTTTTGAAATTATTGAAAGAGATGAATGACATACAAAATCATTGATTGATATTAATCCGATTAATTTTATATTCATTAAGCAATTTTAATTATTGTTATTAATCATTTCTACGATATGATTGAATTTTGTTTTAATTTAAATTGATTGTATGATTGAAACGAACGAATTATCAATGCATGCATAATTCTTATCTATATAAATTGATAAAAATATCTTATCCATACAAATTGATAAAAGTATTTCTCATTGAATTTCACTTCACTCTAATATAATTTATATGTAAATTAGAAATGAGAGAAAAAAGAAAAGATGAAAAGGGATGAATGAATTTGCCGATAACATTTGAAATAGATTACAAGCATTAGTTCAAATTATATAAATTGAAGTGAGAAAGAAGAGAAAGGAGAAAGAGAATGCAAATTACAAGTTCTTTCACTTGCAATTGAACTTGATGTTCGAGGTCAACGATACGATTTCATACTATACCATTATTATCATCATCATTATCATCATCATCATTATTATCATCATTTTCATCAACACTACCACTACTACTACTACTACCAGCGCTACAATTTTCATCCATATTATTCAGTATATTATTTGCAAAATAACAATAATCAACAAATGTTTAGCAATTAATTATTCAAATTTTTAATTTATTTTCAATAGTTGTAAAATGATTGAAAATAGAATGACTGATTGATTGATTGAATGATCGATTGATTGAATGATTGATTGATTGAATGAGTGAATGAATGAAGAAAATGATGAAAGAGATTGAAAAATTAATTATGAGAATAAAAACTTGATATAATTTTTAGTTTAAAAAATTTTCTTTCCACATGAATTGATGATTTGATGTTAATATTATCAGATAAAGAAACAGGTTAAAAAATAAATTTACATTTAAGAAATTCCATAGCCTAATATATCTGTTTGCCTAAGGAGTTGTTTTAATGAATGCTTGATTATATCTGAAAATATTATAATAACTAATGATAATCGATAAAATCAATGATAATCAATGATAATCGCAAAGTTTAATTTCGAGCAGAGATGAAAATGTGATAAGTAAAATAAAGTTATCTATAAAGAAAAATTAATTATGCAAAATTAGTAATAAATGAGAAACAATAAATTTATTACTCTGATAAATGATAAATTAATAAAAATGGATAGAAATTAAATTTAAAAAATTAAAATATAAAACTTAATATGTAGAAAATATTGATGTAAAATAATAATATAAAAATATTAACATTTTTTATAAGATCTACTAATTACTATTAATTGCATTTTTTAAATCTATTTAATACTCTCTCTCTTTCTTTCTCTCTCTCTCTCTCTCTATTTCTCCCTATTTCAATAGTAATTAAATTCGTAATGTGCGATACATTATGTTTCCTATATATATATATATAAGATCGAATTGCTATTTATTTTCTCCTATCTATACGAGCATTTATTAATAATCATCCGAATAACAACATACTTAATAATATCCTCCTGAGAAATCTCAGGGTATTATTAAATATGTTCTTATTTGTTTTATCGTATCATTTTATTTCAATATTGATAATTAAAATAAATTTACTTATAATTAAATAAATGAAAAAATTAAATTCATAAATTTAATTCAGGAAATATACAGTAAAAAGAACAAAAGAAAAAAATGATAAAATCAATAATAACTAATTGATAAGCACTGATAAGAAGGAATTGATAATTTTAAACGGATGATGAAATGTTTAGAAAGAAGTACAAATGAAAAGGAGTACTTTTCTTTTACTGTCGTTGTAGCATAACTAAAATCACATCTATTTTTCCATTTCTTTTCATTCCTCTTCTCTCTTCTTTTCCCCTTTCTTTTTCTTTCATTTTTTAAAGTGAAAATAATGAAAATTAATTAATGGTAGGGATTAAATGAAGTATATTAAAAATCGAATAGCAATTAAGCGAAAAGCCTTTGGCAAATCTGTCAACTTGAAAATATGCCAAAATCATCGAATAAATTTGATATGATAAGGTAAACATAATTGCATGCCTGTTTATGTATATATATACCTGTGTGCATGTCTATTTATATGTATATGTACCTGTATATACCTGTGCATGTGCGTGTGATAATGTATAATTCACTGAATTACAATGCAAATTAATATCACTAATTAACTATCATCAAATATAATACAAAATTTTAAACTATAATGCGAATATTTTATTTTTTGAATATTCATAAATAAAATGATATTAGCGATTTGCAATGATTGTAAAGCTTAACAAAACAAAGCAAAAAAATAGTTAAATTATAAACAATGCTTAATTTAATACATATCAAATAAACAATCATAAATATTTGGTAATTGAAAACTAAATTATAAATAATACAATTTCAATTATTCACTTTTAATCTTTTCTGAGCTTCTACTAATCCTCAATTTCATTACTTTTAACAACGATAATATTTAGTATCACTTAATTTAATACATATCAAATAGACAATCACAAATATTTATTAATTGAAAATTTAACAAAACAAAACAAAAAAAAAAGTTAAATTATAAGCAATGCATAATTTAATACATAACAAATAAACAATCTTATGATTGGAATTGAATACTTTAATTTTAATAATTTAGTAATTAAAATTATTAATAATTGAAAGTTAAATTATAAATATTATAATTTCAATTATTCATTTATAGTCTTTTCTGAGCTTCTACTAATATACATACCAAATAAACAATTATAAATATATAGTAATTGAAAACTAAATTATAAATAATATAATTTCAATTATTCATTCTAAACCTTTTCTGAGCTTCTACTAATTCTCAATTTCATTACTTTTAACAACGATAATATTTAGTATAATTATTGCGTTTTTTTTCCCGTTGAAATTTGTGGGATCGAATGATAGTAATAAATGCGATAATTAATTTCATACAATTTTTGACCGAAATTTTTTTCATTCTTCCTTTTTCAAAATCATCGATAATATTGTTGTAACAAAATTATTATTGACAGATGTATTAAAATTGTAAAAAAAATACAATGAGAAAGAAGAAAAGGAAAAAGAAAGAAAGAAAGAAAGAGAATAATTTAAAAATTTTTGATAGAAATTGATCAAATATTATCGTAGAAAAAGGATTACTATTACAACAATAATATATTTTATAAGAGAAAAGATTGATATTTATATATTTCTATCAATTAATTCAAAATTCTCTTATCTATTCTTATCACCACTATCCATTATGTAGTGATAAGAATAGATTAGAGAAATTTTATCATTCATGAAATTTATTGATAATTTGAAAATTCAATAAGTAAAATAAAATAAAGAAGTTTATATTTATATATTTCCATTAATTAATTCACGAGAATATACATTATCCATTATGCGGTGGTGATAAGAATAGATAAAAGAAATTTTATTAGTCATGAAATTTATTGATAATTTAAAAATTCAATATGTAAAATAAAATAAAGAAGTTCATATTTATATATTTCTATCAATTAATTTGAGAGAAGATACACTATCTATTATATGGTGGTGATAAGAATAGATAAGAGAAATTTTATCACTCATGAAATTAATTGATAATTCAAAAATTCAATATGTAAAACAAAATGAAGAAGTTCATATTTATATATTTCCATCAATTAATTCACGAGAAAATACACTATCCATTATGTGGTAGTGATAAGAATAGATAAGAGAGATTTTATCATTCATGAAATTCACTGATAATTTAAAAATTCAATTCTTATGTAAAATAAGATAGAGAAGAAGTAAGCTTAATACTTTTGCATTTATAATACATTGTTGTTTATACAGCATTTATTGTTTACACTGTATTTATTGTTTACATTGTGACATTTGTATACTTTGTAATTTATTTCCTCATCTATTTGTTTATTAAAATTTATCCATCTTGCTTTAATTTTGTGCTTAATTGTAGCATTTGTTTTATATTTCATAATTACTTAATTATCTATTCATTTACTTTTTTCTTTTCAAGCAATAATAATAAATCAAATTGCAATAATAAACATATTTAACAATTTTTTAATGCCCTAAAAAAGTTCTCTTTTTTGTAAATTATAAAATTAATGCTAATTAATAATTAAACTT